TTCTAAAGAGTATAATTAAAAAGTACATAATTTTAATGACAATTTTCGAGAATAGTATTATTGGAATTAACCACATTTTTATAAACAATTAACGATAAATAAAATATTAAAAAAAAAACAGTTGCCCGTATTGAAAAAATCTCTGTACAGCAACTTTATTGATTGACTGTATGGAAGTACATACATACGTACATATACATATGTATATTTATATTTCATGCAATCTTGTGAATATTTACTGCGAAAAACTTGCGATAACTGCCCATAAAGTAAATTAAATAAATTATCAAATTATAATAAAGTTGAACTTAATAACTAATCAGACAAAAAATTCGTCAACCGACAATACATAATGCTCGATTAAATAAAAAAAGGAATGTCAACTATGTATGTGAATAAATAAAAGCGAAATGTTGAGTAATGGGCACGGGAAAAGTATAAAATTATATAAATTTTAAGTACAATACATGTGTAGATATGTACTACATATGTAAATATATGTATGTATTAGCATCAGTATCGCATACAAAGCGGCATCGACGTCATCAGCGTCAATTATCAGCCTTATAATAATACATATCAGCGACGCTATGCGCTGCCCGAGTTGAGGCCATTGGAAAATACATAAAAGAGAGGAAAAAACTTCAAGCGAATTGGCGGAAAAAATGTTTTTCTTTTTTTCCTTATGTATTTGTAACGTGTGTGGAACTCTATGTTTTTGTGGGAGTTGCGACTAAATTTCAAAGTACATATCGTCGTTTAAAGTGCAACATTTGTGCCAAAAATAAGCTTTGCTCACCGGAAGCTGCTGGTGTCAAGCCTTATTCAATCAAACCAAAATATCGATATTTACATATCGTCGTTTAAAGTACAAAACCGCGTATCAAGATAATGCAAAACCGCGTATGTTGCATAAATTATTTTCTAGAGAGTAAAAACATTAATATTTCAAAATGGTTCTGTTTTTTTATAAAGCCATCGCAATTCAGGCTAGTATATTTCAGGACGAATGGATAAGGATTAAGCCAAGAGCTTGTATGAGCAAATACAATTTTTGGCAGCAAATGTCAGTTACGCGGTTTAGCTGAATGCCGATACGCGGTTTTGTACTGTAAACGACTATATAAAAGGTAGAGATGATTGTGGATAAAATAGAAAACCGTTTTGAAATACAACAGGTTTTGCTCTCTCCTGTAAAATTTGAGCAACCTCACTTACGAGGTCTTGCATTATCTTGATTGCGGTTTTGTACTTTAAACGACAATATTTAGATACAAGTATGTATGTATATAACATTATATAACGTTAGGCATATGATTTTTTTAAATTGAATATAGGTTTTTCAGTTACACATATGAAAATTCCATAAATTCCGTACATGAAAAAGTCACTTTTCCGATTAATAGTAACAGTTGAAAATAAAGATATTAGTGAATTTCGTTAGGTCATGGATTTTACGATGGACGATTTAAAGTAATTTTGTTTACTTTTTGGTTGAGACAAATTTTAAGGGCATACCAAATCGTTTTTTTTGTCTCGAATTGTGAAAATTCCAAAAACAGACTCCATTTTCCTTAGTGCAAAAGTTATATGGTCAACCCGGAACCACTTGGGTTTACCAAATAGCGCTCTAAAAAATGGCATG